AGAGAATGGAAAAGCCTTAGGGCCGCTTTATACAGCAGCTATTTCGCTTCCGGATTTCCAAATTTCCAAATTTCCAAATCCGTAGACCGTTGAACCTCGATTTGCGGCCGAGCGAAAGAACTGGAAAATTGGAAAATTCGGAAACTACCGGCCGAAAAAAATGGAACGAGGAAAAAGTTTGGAAAGGTATCTACATGGAAGCTTGGGGATCTGGCGTGTCGAACCTAGGAAATTTGGAAATTTGGAATTTGGAAGCAAAATCGCTGTACATGAAACGGCCCTTAAGGCTACGCCAGGCTCCTCGCCGTCTCTTGTGTCCCCGGGGCTTCGCGACGGGGGTTTTCTCCCGAACCATTTTTCTTGTTTCTCAAAGGTCAAACTGCTAGATGAGAAATCCCGGGCGGTGCCGCCGCCGACTGCTGTAATATCTCATTTGTCACCTCCGGCGCTTAGCCCCACGAGACACAACGCTCTACATCTTTTGGGAGAAATCATACCAGCTTGAGCAACCCCGTCGAGCAAAAATGTGCCGCAAATCAGTTTAGGCTTTGTAGCGCGAGATCGAGTTGCTCGACGTGCGGAGATTCTTGAACCAGCGGAGCAAAGCGTGCTGCCATTGCCGACAGCTACGGCATGCCACAAGCAACAACACTGCTCGAAACTGCCAGAGCCTACCGATATGGTGTGTGAGTGGCGTAGCATGACTTGGCAGCAGCAGCAGAAAACCAGAAAAGATTGTAGAGGTGTCCTCGTCAGCTGTATGTAGTTGCACGCAGCAGCCCGAAACATGGCCAAACTGACGGATATTGTGAGTCGTTTGACGCGCCGCCGCCGTTCTCCACGTGTGTATGCCCGATCAGCAAACGGATTGAACATATAGCTGGTTCACTGGGTGTTCTCAAGATGCAAAACATTGTAGAGGCTTTGGATTTGGCACATTCTGATTTTTCGATCTACGGCGCAAAACGCTATTAAAAAGATGCGGTCTTTTTTTTCGTCCTCCCCGTAAACAGCTGCTTTTGTGCAACTCCCTTCCTCCAAATTCAAATTGTTTCGTTGGTTCTGCGAAACGCCATTCCCTCTTTACAACGCTTTTTTTTGTGAGGAGCCTGGCGTAGCCTTAAATTGCTCAATTCAACAGAGTTATTTAAACTCGATTCATGGACCGGCGGGACTTTTTTGGGCCTTTCGCTGCTTTGTACATTTTTTGGTGAAAAACTCTCGTGATATAAAACTCGAGAATAGATCTTCACAGGAGAAAAACACAGGACTGTTAGCCTGCGCCAATACATCCTCGGACAGCTGGTGTTGGGCAGGTGGGCTGCCGTTGTGGTGCAGCCAAATTTGATCAACCGGAAACAAGCAGCAAGCGAAATTAGAGTGCCTTCTTTCAAGGTGATACGAATATGCACACCCTAACGTAGTGAACGAATAGCGGACAAGGCGCGTTCGTCTCTGCCAAGAGCGCCCCCGACCCACGCTAGCTGATACTCTGTATGTTGGCACTCGAGCGAGCACGTTGATGACAACAAACCGTTGGTCCTTCTTCTCTTTTTTTTTGTGCCAAAGAGAAAACGAGAGAGGGGTCAGAAAAGACAGGCATACAGGCATATACGCACACCCTGTGCATCAACCTCAACAACCTCCAGCCTCCCCGCCATGCCGACTAGAAGGGCCGCCCTCCCCCCCCCCCACAAAATAACGGGGCAGCCTATAAGCTACGCGGCGAGCCTTGTGGAACTGTGTCTGTTCGTTATTTCGTCTGTGCTTGCTTGCGTGCGATGGCGGCACCAGAGAAAGCGAGAAAGAAAAAAGGAGCACGACGAGAGAGGAGGGCAGAGGGGAAAAGAGAGGGTGCAGCAGCATGCAGCAACCTCACGTACGCGTTGATACGCATGCAGCACAACAAAAAATCGTTCGGGCAGTGCCCGAAAGCTTGGTTGGGGGCTGGCGGTGGTGGCGGCGTTGTTATGACTGTGTGCTGTGTCTTTGCTGTTGTGACGGCGGTGATGTTTGCTGCAAAAGCGAGGAGAGAGGAGAGGGAGAGAGGGAGATAGAGAGAGCAGCCTGTTTGTCTCCGAACACAAATATATACTTGGAGCTCTGGAGCCCCAAACATATATTTGCTCACGATTCATGCATTTTTGCCCAAAAGTCCCCTCCGATATAAAACTCGATTCATCCACTTTTCGGGCTCTTCCACTGGTTTCATGCATTTTTTCGAGTTTTAAATATCTCTCTGCGATCCTAGGCATCTTGCTTCTTCAGAGCTTGTGACGTCACCTCTGCGTCGTTCGTCGGGTTCAAACGTCAACGAACTTTACCGATTACCGATGACACGGTAGATTGGAGATACCAACATGAACACACAACATGCATGAGAAACGTTGCGGGCATGCCAGTTTGCGTTAAAATGTTGCCCTCGGGAGGCCTTGTACGTAAGACGGCAGCGGTGCATGGGTCGATTTGCTACATGGACGGGGGCTGCGAAAATTGCAAATGACCAAGTCGCTGCAACCTGTTGGTAGTGCAAGCCCTGCCCGGCAGAAGTCCGGAAACTTCCCAGTAATGATCCTTCTCCCCCATACAACCATGCGCGGCATATGCGGCGGAATTCCGGCTGTTGGACACTACAATACTGCTGTGGTATGCCCTGCAAAAGGAGGTGTGATTGATCCGGATCAGGCGGGATCAGTCCCTTCTTGATACTTGGGGGCATGACTTGATTTAGGGTACTCTCTAACAACAAAATCGATCCCCCGATGGATGACTTGCCGGGAAGGGTGCACGTTGTAGATAGACTATTGGATTATATACCGAGTACCGAGGGCCGAGGGCCACGGCCAACCTTTCGCCTCTGTATTGTATGCATTACAGCAGTATATGTCGAAGAGTATGCCCGCATACTTGCTTCAGCGAGTCAACATCAAACACAGGGTAGCAGAGTTCGTGTTGGGGAGAACAAGGGGCCAATCGAATACTCCATGAGCCCGTAGAAGGTCAAGGAACCAGCTGTTAACAACAACGCGCTCGAGTGGCTATGGTAGACGTGCACTGCTGTAGATTGTGGTACAGGGTACAGGACGGACGGTACTGCTCTACGGCGTAAATACGTAAATACCTCCCTATACGCTCTGCAGCAAGATCGACATCGACACCGACCTCTCGCCATGAACCGAAAATACAGACAACAACAGCCTTTCTCTCACCACCTATCCTTCGATTGGTAGCTTCGCTCAGGACCAAGGGGGTACCCAGAATGTCAACGTCGCTGTGCTGTTGCTTAGGTGTCGCTGGTCGATTGCCTCTCAGCTCTGCACGTCGCAGTCGGAAGAAAACAAAACCACAGGGGGTACGCAGAAGATACCCCTGCCGTATGTTATGCCATTGAAGAACATTATATCATCACGGAGCCCCCGGACATTGCCTCCGCCCCGGGAAGGCTGTGGTGGGTTGTTCAGTCAGGAAGTATGCACTGCACTATGATACGATGTTAAGCATATTATGTCGATGCTGGGATATACCACAGAGAAAATATGGGCCTCCTGTATAGTCTTCAACAAGAACCCTTTCATTGGGTCCATCTTGATCGATCGTTATCCATTTGGTAGTAGATTGGCTGCTGTGCCCGTGCGGCAAGCTACACACTGCCACCACGGAAGCTGCGGTCTGCGGTCTTATTGACCTACAGCACTCAGACCCATAGCTGTTGATGGGGCCTAGGGTGGGAGACAGCGTAAGGTTCCTCCTGTTCTACGGGCAGCCACACAATAACCCTGTGTGCGGATGCTCGCTAAACCCCCTAATTTACGACGACCCCGAAGACTCACGACGCTTTACACCTGAACTATTGGTGAAGTGCTTGGCAGTGTATTCACGTTTTGTTGTACGGGCATCGATATGATGTCGACATAAAAACTTTCGTCAATATTATCGTCTCCGCCTCCACCGAGTACGAATGAATTCAATTTAGCGTGTGAACGCGGAGAGCGTACACGCGAGTGAAGCGTTGATCCCATGACAGGCTTAGTTACTCCTATCCGTCTTACTTTTTGTCGCATGGTCTGCTCCCAGGCAGCGAGTGGTAACCACTGTCGAAAGGAAGGAATACTCTGCGAAAGGGGAGTTCAAGAGAGAGCGTCCGAACCAGCAGCATGCAGCTCGCTCCCGTTGCAAGTGCGGGAAGTTCCCACACAAGTAAAGAGGGCGTCTATCCTGTGCAAGCGTGCCCACCAGATACCTTCAGTAGGCGCTTCGTTGGGCCCAACTTCTCGCAGTAGGTGGCCACCTCATGCCTTCCAGCCGCCCTTGTGTTTGCATATCGTAGGCAAGCAAGCAGCGTGGATGCTTGATCCTGACTTAGCACAGCATTCTCATGCTCGACATTTGTCCACGTCATCATGCCCACTTCAAACACGTGTTTTTGGGCGACGTGCCTCGACATCGCAAAATGCCTTGCTTTCAACGTGAATCCATGAGCCTGGTTGATCGAAGACGCCGACGTTTACGTTTCCACTGTTCAAGGGCGGTGAAGAATGCACAGGAGCTTGACAGGTCGTGACGCTTCCATCTCGTCCAACGAGTTGAGTGTATTGCGCTCGAGCATCATTTCCAGCTTCAACCGTATTGCGCCCGCAATCGCGTGAGATCATCCGCTATTGCTGCCTAGCTGATGTAATGCTGGTGCGATCGGGATGACTTCCTGGCAATCACGCCCCCGACAGCCCGTAAGGCGGAGGACGCCTCCGCATTCAACTCAAGCAGTACCTCCGCACACGCTGCTGCACTTTCTGCCAGGAAGGCTGTATGATCCAACGATGACGCAGCGTCTGGAAGAAGACCAACTACAGTCGCCCTCGTCTCGTTGAGCACATGCTGCTCGTCTCCACCGCAAAAAACTCCGCAAAAACTACGGCTAGGATGTGCACTGTGGTTCCTCCACTCTTTTAGTCCTCTCATGAGTCTTATGAGGAAGACGAGAGCTCACGAAGTGCGCCGCCTTAGACAGAAACACCGCATTTTTCGCTCATTTCCGTCGCCAAAATGACCCGCAGCTCGGTCTCGCCATCCCGAGTATTCAACCATCGCTTGGCCTCTTCGTGGTACTCGAACCGCATCGGCCCACTTGAAATGGAACGCACCCCCAAGAAAATGACAACGGGCACGTCGAGGCAAGCATAAACACGTAGGAGATAAACGATTGGCGCGCGCATCTGAGCAAGAGAGATGGATCGAAAACGTTGCAACGTGCGCCTCCTATTTAGTGTCCGCTGCATGTGGCGTGGGCTTGTTTCACGATTAGTCTCCCCCAATCTTTCGGACGGGGATATTCCTACAAGATCGTGTAAAAAGCGGTTCATCCGGGGTGTCAGTCCAAGGCAAGTTTGTGCACCTCCGACCCCCAACTAGAAACGAGACAGGGTGATTTTCTTCTTCGGCATAGTCGGCTCTGCCTGCGCGGATGGGATGGGATAAGGGTAGTTTTGACGTACACGAGAGAGGCGACGGTGCATTGCCGGGGGGCGGGCTGGCAGGTGACGCCTCCCGTGGCCGATAGACAAACGTCAATGACGCGTTGAGGGCATGCACTTGAAGCCTCGATGTACACGGCAACAATAACAAGCACAACTTATCCCATCCCGACCCGCGCAGGCAAAGCCGACTACGCAGCAGGAGAACAGAAGCCAGGAGGGGGCACGTCCCGCGGAACGTAACGCAGAAAGAGTGAAGGAGGTAACTCGTTGTTGTGGTGGTTGCCGCGTACATCGAGGCTACAAGTGCATGCCCTCAACGCGTCACTGGCGGTGGAAAAATTGATTTAGGAGCTTGCGCGACATGGTTGAGACGTAAAAAAAATTTGCTCGTTATTGTCCTCAAAGTCTCACACGTGCCTATGTTGTTGTTGTTGCTGTTGTCGCCACCCCCGGCTTCCCTGTTACACGCCTCGGCGCGAGGTGACTCTTCAGTTTCGTCGGTAGGTTTTGACGTTTGGAAATAATTTGATTACAGAAGTTGGCGCTCTCACTGATTTATTTGCAGGTTATGTAAGCGTTCACAAAGCGGGACGCGCTGACGTGTGCAACACAGCAAGCTGTGCGTACAAACTGCGCTATGCACAACAAGGAGACGGACGCGCCGACGAAACACGAGTGTCTCGAAAGGAGTGACAATATCTATAATAGGACATACAGGCCTCAACGAAAGACGTCGATCAGGTCGTCCTCATCAAGTGTTGGAGCCCTGCTGGAGCAACCCCGTCTGTCAAGGTCGGTCCTTGGTTGTACACCCAAGTGCCGAAATTCTCGAGTGTGTCGATACAACCGCGTCTGTTAAACGCCAATCTCATACGCAGTCGAATGACTTTACAATGGAAATGTTTGTGTTTATCGGTTGTCCTCCAGGGAGGGGCAAGAAACAAAGAAAGAGTGAGCCTCGTACAGCTCAGACACACAGAATCCAGAACACGGTCTGCAGTCGAATAGAGCCAGAAAGCTCCCAACCGACAAGAAACCGTCACTTTTTGTGGAGAACGACAACACACCGACAAGCCCACACACCTGATCGGGCTCGACCACCAGATTTGGCGGTTAGGCGACTGCTTGTTGAGTACCCATGTGCCTCGGTCACCCACGGCGATGTTCAAGACGCCTTGCTGAGAGGACGTTAACACGCCACAGGCCATGTCGTGTTGGGCCCCGACAAAACATGTACAACGCGTAACAGCAGGGGGCGCGGATTCACGCGATCAGGAATTGCATGATTCGGCCACCCTTCCTCAATCTGGCTTCAAAACAAAGGGGGGCATATTGTGCTCTTGATATGTACAGACTGGCAGTGCGTGTTCTTTCCAATGACCATTGGGAGACGTAAGGCCGGTTCATTTCCACAGCACATCTGTACCGACCCATTGGAGTCGGATTACAGCGCAGAGCACCTCACCGACATGTTGCAGTCGAAGTCGTCCTCGAAGCCTTCTTCCAGAGCCTCCTCCACAGCGTCATGGATCTCCTCGAGGGCTTCGTCGGCCACCGAGTGGAACTCCTGCTCCGACATGGTCGTCGATGACATGCCCTGCCTCTGCATCGACACGACACCCGTGGATGCTACCGTCTCTCCCGCCCCCGTACCAATAATGCTGGCGCCTCCCATCGGTGCCGACGAACGTGCGGTCAAACTGCTGCCCCTGTTCCTACCGCTGCCACCGCCGCAACACGTGTCTAACCTCGCGCCTACCACTATTCTTCCGCACGCAACGGATAAGGAAGAGTACGATTTTTCCGCCATACTTCCGGCATTTGATGGGAGTCGAACAGGGCGCAGAGGTGATGCCCCGGCCACTTCGGCCACCGCGATGGTTGTTGATGTTGAACGCCGTTGTGCGGCGGAATATTGCATCAACGTGATGTTGGTGTTGTTTCTCGTCGAAGCTCTGACCGCTTGCATATTAGCCAGCAGTGCCGTGCTCTCCTCCTGAACCAGTCGAGATGCTCTCTTTAAGGTGCTCATGGTAGCCTACACCGCAATGCTTTGCCAAGAAGTGGCTAGCAACCCAAGCCCGCCAGGGGCCCCCAAGCCCAAAATGGGCTACCCAGGGAGGGCGCAATTTTTTCAGTTTCAAATTGCGGGGCTCCGAGTTCAGCGTGGGCCCGCCTCCTAGGTCTCTGCACCTATCGCTGCTTCTTGGAACAACACCAGGCACCCCAAACCACCCTGTTCTATTCGTGGGTCTCTGGAGTTGGGAGATCTTGGGGACGTTCGTTCCAAAATCCGATTGTGCTGCCGGTTTTGGTTTCTGCGTCTCTCAAGATGTCCATGTTGCAATGGAGCGTCCTTCTGGGTGTGCTACACAAGGCGGCTGCTTTCGTCCTGCTGCCACCTGCTGCCGGACCTACTGCATCAAGCACTTGTGAGACGAAGAGGGGCTAGATTTTCCTTGTCGGTTGGATGTTATGGGATGCTCGCCTTCCCCGGTTTTGCTGAGCACGCGTGATGTGCAAGCGTAGTAACCTAGAGGTTACCCTGATCATGTGTCTCGCCATGTGTAGTAGACTTGTATCGGCGGTAGGCAGTCTTCCACCCTCGCCTGTTGCCTATACTCAGCACCGTCATCACCATGTGGTAGGCCCTTCTTTGGGTCTATGACCGCTAGGGTGCGACTGCAACGTGTTGCCCTTGGTCTTCCTTTACATTGCAACAGAATTCCGCCCTCGTGGCCCGAGCCTGAGTGTGTTTTCTCCAAGTTCAAATCATGTGTGTGTACGGATCGACCACGACCGCCTTCACCGCAACCAGCTGGTATATCCGCGCCCGGGCTTCGCGGTCATGTGGCATTCCCTCTCTGTGTCGCGCTTTGGCTCCCGGTACACGTGATGCTGGCCTCATGGTCGTCATAACGACACACTCGTTGACGTGGGGCTGCATCGTCGGCGATCCCGCTCTCCGCACGCACACATCCCCAACAGGGGACGCAGAACTCTCCAACACTGCTGTTTCCTACAACAGCCCATCAAATGTGTCCAAGTAGCTGAGGGAAGAGATTGCACTTTGAGAACACTCTGCCAACACTTGGCACGCGATAGAAAACAAGTGCTGCTGTGTGCTTGTTTTAGCAACTTCAGCTTGCTTGTCTTCCAAATCGGGACGCCTCGCAGGATGGGCATTCGGTGCGGCGGACAACACTACACTACGAAGGGTTCGCTGAGAGCGACCGCTTATTTTCCTCTCGATTTTGATCTATTCCTTTGCGCCCCGTGTCGAGCAGGAAACGTCTGTTGTCGACATTTTTTTCTTCCCCTTTTCCAAAAACAAACCATGTTCAGTTCTATCCAAAGATGAGAGTCAGGATAAATTTCGGTTAATTCGTGAGTGTTACTATTACCAACCTGCGTTTCTATCAGTCTACCAGGAGCATACCTCCCTCCTCCTGTGGGTTACAGCAGTCTCAAACAACCCCGGCAGTTGGGTGGCAATCTTGTGTCCCGACAGTTTTCGGTTTGCTGGCTCGTCTTGGCAGGGGTACGGAGCACGTGCGGATCGAGCGCTAGCAGCGCCTCCGCTTGGACGACATACCCGACATGCATGCTCAGGGGGCAGGCTGCAGCTGTGGCGGGTGCTGCTCGCGCGTCGCCGCCGGATAGGCCCGCCTCTACCGCGAATAGGAGGAGGAGGCCAACGACTCTCGCTGCCGGGGCCGATGGGTGCTTCCACGCGTCCCCTGGGAGGCGTTCGGGGGGGAGTGGAGAAGGCGGAAGACGAAAACTGGGTGAGGAAAATATGAACGGCGGCATCCTTTTGCTATATGTAAGGCTTCGACTTAAGGGTGTGCGTCCGATGGCAGTGGCTGCTTCGTCTGCACATTCAGCGCGGGGTGTGCATTTGGCCGACGTGGCAACAAGGGAGCCTTCGCCTATTGTAGGTGACAGATACCGCGCCCGCCGGACCGATTTTCAAACCTCGGCTACTTCTCGAGAAAAGGGGATGCCGGAATCAAGTTATACGTTTTGGAAGGCTCTTAACGGGCGGGACTCTTCCACCAGAGCACCACCACTCTGATGCTGTGGGGTTGTCGAGCTTTGAGAATCAGTCCAAGGGGGTGTTATATCGTATACCGTATACCGCCTGGCTGGAGTCGGAGATTCTCCGATGAGCTTCTGTTGCGAAGCACGTTGTGCGGTTGGAAGTTGGAGAAGGCGTTGTGGCTTGACTCTCCCAGCACAACAGCAGTAGGCAGCGATAAGAGATTTACGTCAAAGGAGGGCCGGTTTGTGCTCCGATCATCTCGACATCGCTGCCGCTTGGTGCTGTTGTGCTTTCCGTTTCTTGGAGTACATATTTCGTACGTGCAGCATTTCTTCATGCATGTACTACTGTAGTGAAGGCACGAAGCGATTTTGGTACATCGTTTGTGGCCTACTTATTGCCCGAGAAACTATTGTATTATACAGCTACTTCTGTCTTGTTACCATGTGCAGGTTTCAAATGTTCTTGTTTTTTTTTTTTCTTGGACGGGAATGTTTTCTGGCCAAGCGTAGGAGGAGCGACAACTTTGAAGCAAATGTTGAAATTGTCTCTCTCTTGCTCTTTTGTTCTTTGCGATGGAAAATCTTCCTCTGTGGCTACGCAGGAGGAGCAACGGGGCGGACGTCGACGATGAGAAAGTCTTCGACATTGGAACAGGACGGCGTCGAAGACAACGAGGGAGTGGTTGACTTCTCGTCCGTGGGACCCCCACCCCCTGCCCCGGTGGTGGAGGAGGAGGAAGAGGAGGACGATGGCGAGCCTGATCCGGTGCGCGAATGTGTCTTGTTCGGCTGTTGCCGTTGTGATGTTGTGGCTTTGTTGTATTATGCCGATGCGGTGAGAGAGAATTTGTCTCTTGTTGCGGTTGTCGTCGCTGTGATGGTGTGGTTTTGTCGTATTGTCCAACTTGTGGTTGTTTTGTAGATTTGTTGTATTGTGCTTGTTGGTTTGAAGTCGCTGTTGTGATGATGGTGATGTTGATATAACGTGTTGTTGATTTTATGCCAGCTGTCGCTTCTTGGTGTTGTAGCCATGGCTGCCGTTGATATTGGTGTTTTGCCCCGCCAATGTGATCACGTATTGTAGTAACAATGGAGGGCGAGGGCGTACATCGGTATGGCGGTGCTGTTGTGCTTGTACATATTTTTCGGGTGATGTGCGCTTCATTTTGGTGTTTTTGGGGGAGCTGTATTTTTTTTCTGCAAATCGAGTGAACCATGTTTCCATATATGTGAGCACAAGCGCCCCTACGTCTACTTGCCTTGCCTACACGCTACAGCCGCCGCTGCTGCCGCTGCCGCTGCGAGCGGTCGTTCTGTTTCGCATTGTCCTGGCAGTTGTTATTGTTGCCATGCTTGTCCATGCCTGCTATTGCTGCTGCTGCTGCTGCTTGTTGTGAACTTGTGTTGTTCGATATGGCGACCGTGTTTCATCTCGTTTCGTGCACGGTGGTCCGGGAACGGGTTGGCTGTTTTGTGTTTGACAGGCGAAGGACCTGGCGGAGGTGGTAATGCAAGCCATCTTCGAGTGGAACATGAAGAACGATGTTGTCGATGCCCAGCGACCCACGTGAGGATCATGATGATCTTTTTCTTTTTCCTTTTGCAGCACGCGCCATCATGTGAGCAATTGGTACTGAGTACTTCAAAGTACTGAGTATTAGCTTCGGCGTGAGAAACTTGAGGGTTCGTTTTCACCAAGTCCTTGTACAAGAAGGGTTGAATCCTACCCACACTATGTATGTAGCACCTTTTCATTTCCAGTTGGGTTCCCCCACTGGTCAAATATGGAGAAGGAAGGGGTCTGCGCAAGCTATGATTTGCTTTAGGTGCGGTCTAGATGATTAAAAGAAGTATCTTGACCTCCTTGCCACCTGTCTCGAGCAAGCAGGGTGGACCTGGACGCGGTGGTGGAGGAGACGTACGAGGAGGCGATGAGGTTGTACGAGTACTATGATCAGATGAACGAAGAGATCGCCAAGCAGGAGCGGGAGGAAGCAGAGAAGGCCAGAGAGGCGGAGGGACTGCCGGCGGTGGTGGATGCCGACTTGGCGGAGGACGAAGAGGTTCGCAGTGACGCCATGTTTTTGGTGGAGTGACGTCATGTTTTTGGCGCAGTGACGTCGTGTTTTTGGTGCAGTAACGTCATGCTTTTGGTGCAATGAGGTCATGTGTTTTTTTGGTACGGCCTAACTATGAACCGTTGTTATTGGCCATCGTTCTGTTTTTGTACGTTCACAAAGTTTTTGCCGTCTTTCATTTCATTGCAGCTGATGTTCTATGCAGTGGTCAAGCTCTCCAAGCTTGCCCTGGCTCTGCTCGCAGCGATAGGTTCAACAACGGAGGAGGTCAACGCCGCCCCAGTTATTGATACGATGTTTCTCTGCTTTTGCTGCCCCTTCGTCGTACACTCGTGATACGTGCAAAGTGCCGGAACTCTCCGTGACGCCCACCCTTTTTTTTTTTTTTGTCTGGCCCGCTTGTGGTGTACTATTTGTCCACTGCCTCTGTGGTCTCATCGGGGGTGTCCCGACCTGCCGGGCTATGTGCCGCGCGCCAACAACGTGGCGACGTTGATTCTACTGTTGATGAGTAGTCTGGAACTCCTTATCGGCCTCCCGCGGCTGTGACGAGCATCTTCGAGCCGAGCTTCGAGGATGACGAAGAGATGCCAGGTGCGCGCGCTACAACACAAGCATCCATCGGCCGTGGCTTGACGACGAAGAAATGTTGTTGATACCGTTATGCTACAGACGTGTTGACCGTATACATTGCGGCGCTGTGACTCTGGCTTTCTATTGAGGTTATCGCCGGCGTGTTGTGTGGAGGGCGGTGAGGGTTGCGTTGTCGATCAGCAGTCGCGATATTGAGTTCACAGCGTCTTGTGGAGGTGTGCAGGTGCACAAAAGGCTGCTCCGGAAAGTGATGGAGCGCGGTCGTTCTTCTTCATTAGTCTTCCTTCCCCGCAAGCAGCGGCTGTTTCCCTCTGCCTAACCCTCGCCGTAGAGCCCGTTTGGTTGTCATGTTTGCCCCCCGCGCCTTGGTACTGTTGTACTGTTTTGCATTGCCCCCCGCGCTCTAGCCTCGCCGATTTTGTGAATTGTTTACTCCCATGGCCCCGTGCTCTAGCCTTGCCGCTTGCGTGGATTTGTTGAGCCCGGGATAGCATCTGGTGCCATGCCGCTGCTCTTGTGTTGTTGTTGTTGTTGTTGTTGTTGTTGTTGTTGTTGTTGTTGTTGTGTTCGCATTGAAAACCGTTCCGTTCTCTCTGCCCAGCACCTATGTGTGTGATGTCGCCTCTCTCCTGAACAAACTTTTCTCTCTCTCCGTCTTCGAACGAACGCCCTGCTGCTGCTGTGCGTACGTACGTACGTAGTGAACCTGGAGGAGCCCGATGCGCGTACGGTGGCCCTGGCGCGGCGACAAGAGTACCTCTACGGGTTCAGGCCGTCGGACCTGCCCAGGGAGGTGCTGGACGAGGTGGAGGCGGCGGGACCAGAGACGAGGAAGTTGGCCTACGTCAGGTGTGGGGGGAGTACTCATAGTCGTGCATGCCGTAGACGTTAGACCATCGACCTCGCATCCCTACAAAGTCGGGACGGAGCGATATGCCGGGTTCTTACCCGACGAGGCTCTCACATGACCAAGCGCGAAGCGCCGTGAGGTATTCGGCGAGTCGCATGGAGGGTGCGCTGTGTCCTGCCAAGGGTGTTCGGCATCTTGTGGCTACTTGTTTGCATACGGATGACAGCCTAGGGTGGGAGATCTTTGATGACTGTCGGTCGGTTTAGTTTGTGTTGGGGGTCTCTGCTTGCTCCGCCGTGACGTGTGACCCCATTTTTTATTAGTCTTCGGGAAGGTTGTATTTGGAGTCTCTGCTTGGGACATACGGTGTGACGTCATGCCTTTGAGTGTGGGGAAAGCGTTGCTGTCGGAGGCTGTACCCTACCGCGGCCGGCACGTCCTTTTTTTTGTTATTCTGGAGAAGGCTTTACGACGGGCGCTCGGCGGATGTGATTCAGAGTGTGCCCCTAGCGCTCGGCTACTGTTTGTTTTATTTCCCTCGCTGTTGCTGCGCCCCCGCAGGTCGCGTGGGTTGCTCTTGGTCCCGTCGGGCGCGCCATAACATTGCGTTTTCTAATATTTTGTTGCTCTTGCTGGTGTGATGCTCCTGCCTAAATCGTTGTATGTTCATTCGAAGCGGGGTGTCTGATCTGGTGTGCGTCGATGTGTGCGCGTTTCCGTGCTGCTGCTGCTGCTGCTGCTGTTGCGGTTTATTTGCCGTGTGTGGGAGCAGGTTGCTGGCGGGCATATCGTCATCTCCGTACCAGGACAACCTACACCTCGCCAGGCAGCTGAGATGGGCAGCTGGGGTCCTCATGCCGAGGGATAACGCGGAGGTATGGCATGACATGCATGTTGGTTGAAGTCTCTTGCGCTCCGCGGCGCGATGCTCTTGTCTGACCTCGCTCTCTAGACCCTCCATTGCTGCAGCTGTACATGTCGTTCCCCCGAAAAAATGTCGTCGCTGCCGACAGCGCACCTGGACGGCATGACGCATCCCTGACGCTCTCTTTGGCCAGTGCAGTGGTAGGACCCCTTCCCCCGCGCCAGCCCCGACACCTTTCGCTCTTCGGCATGGAATGTAATGGGGATGTGTGTCTCTCTTTTTTCGATGCTGTTGGGTGTCGAAATATTACACCAAGATTTTGACGACCATCAAGCAAGCAAGACCCTTCCCTCCGACCCCCCACCCCGTATGTGCCGTTGTGCAGGGAGGGGCCCTGTCGCAATCGGTGACCGACGAGGAGCTTACGGCGGCAAATGTGCTCGCGGTGAAGACGTTGGTGAATGTCACTGAGGCATACCCGGGGGTGAGAGCGTGAGAGGACAGGACAGGACATACGTTTCTTGGTGGTGTGTGGTGATGTCTACAACACGTTGAGTTCAAATACGTATGCATAGGGCTAGATCGCTTCCGACAACTGTTAATGGTGTGACGAGAACTAACGGCGCTACATACAGAATTGCCTGTGGCAGTTTCAGTAATATGCATACGCTTGTCTGCTATGGCGTATGTATGTGGAGGGACGCGAATCGGAGGTGTGTCGTGTTTTCTTCATTTGGTTGCACTTCTGTATTCCTCTGTGTGTTTGACTTTCTGTGTGACCCGCCCGGCTGATTGTAATGTAACTCAAGCACGTACACCGATAGGTGTGTAGGCTGGTGTCAGAATGCCTGGGACGAAGGAAACGCGTTAAGCACGCTGTGTGCCTACCGAAGCGATATATCTAGTCAAGCTTGGTGTTGTTGCTGTTGCTGTTGCTGAGCACAGGGCCGTCCAAGGGCCGTTTTTCGTGAAATGTCAGGACCTTTCAGGATACCTCTCAGGAACTTTCAGCTTTTGGTACCCCTCCCTCCCCTGCCCTTGCAGGTGTTATTTCCCGTGGATGATGTTGACACCGTCTGACCCATCGGCATAGAAGATAGATCTTGTTGCCTTATAACGACATGCCACGTATGCAGCAACTCAGCTCCGCCTCTTGAGGTCGCCTTTTGACATAGCCGTTTACTCTAACTGCTTTCTCTCAGGCTTCCAGGAGCGCGACGGGAGGGTGGTGTCTGTGGCTCTTGAAGACGCTGCGGAACAGGTAGGCATGAGGCTTGCAAGGGGCCGCGATATTCTTAGCTTAGCTTGATTCTTCGCCTTTGTCGTGTGGTCTTTGTTTTGTTTTTTTTTCGGTCCTCGCTTCGAGGTTCATTCTTGGTGTTTTTGTGCACGTGAGCACGTCTGTATCTGTGACGGCAGAATAACGCTGTATAATATAAATAGTAGGTGCCTACACCGACGAAGTGGGCCTTTTATCCCCACAACCAAGAAATCACCATTCCAACGTAAAATATTAGATGACTCAAATTATGCTGTAATTCGTGTCCCTGCTCTCCTCTTCCTCACCATCAAACAAGGCAAACCTAAGGTTAAGGTAGCACTCCAGGAGTGATTGTCCATTAGGTGCATCCATCAATTGATCGAGTGTCCGGGCCGTTTCTCACGGCCGTGCTTTCATTTTTTGTGTGACTGTTTCGAAACGTTTTTTTCGTTGCTCTTTCGTTGAAGGGACGAGGACGAAGTGGGACACCTGGCTCTGGACGATGAGAGCGTCGGGATGTTTTTCGACTTGAGGTCACAGGTACACACAGTGCCGCCTGTTACCGTGGGTGTACGTGACAATCAATGCTATTTTGGTTGCTTTTTTTTTTGGGGGGGGGGGGGAGTCACAACCGTCCATTGACGCACACGTGGCTGCTTGAATGTTGTCATATTTTAGTAGGGGCACGAAGGCCATGGTTGTCGTCCTAGCAAGCCTGCCACGCTTGTTTCGCCCGCGGAATTGGAATTGTCTAAAGTTTCCGTGACCGCGGCGATACCTGCCTGTCGAAGGGCGGGGCAGTGGCAGAAGTCCCACGATGTAGGCTATCCTAGTGCTGTTTGCACAGTAGTAGAACCCACGTGTTTTCGCCGAAGTGTTTTTCACTATTTTTTCTTGTCTTCTGGTCGGCAAGGGGGTGAGGAGAACACCGCTCGAGAGGGTCGCGGACATGGGGCACCGCAGATACATTTTTTCGGCCGATCTCTCTCTTGGAGCCCGTTGATGTGGATATTGGTCCTGTCTATGCTGCCGCCGGTCTACACACCGTTGGGGGGTATGTGTCTGACATGGTATCAGCTGGGGCTACACACGAAGAAGGTCAACTCAGTTTTCTTTTTTTTTGTTGTATGTATATTGCATTCATTCCCTAGTCTCTATTCCGTTGTGTGAGTGTGTGTGATTTGACTTCGCATCGCGTCCGACGTTTTGTTCCATGTGTCTTGCTCCCTGCGGCGACAGGGCGAGAAGGACAGCAAGCGCATGAAGGTCGGCAGCCGCATGTTCCGAAAGGCCCTCGAGACGGAGGTGTTCAAGATGGAGGCCGGAGGGCTGATGGCCAACACCACACCGGACCAGCTAGGGTAGGCGATCTGTCATGCGGTTGTTGGGGGGTACAGCTGTACGGGGGTCGGATGTGCGTGTCGTTGCGACAGCAACGGCGTTGTTGTTTGGGGACGGTGGGGATGGGCTCGGTGATGATCGTGACGGGGAACACGCCCGCAGCGTCAAACCTTTGTGTTTTTCGGCGATGTGAGGCGTTTTTTTTGTACGTCTGCACTGCTATCGCTAGTGATCGTCAGCCCCACGTGCAGTAGGAGGCCCCATAGTGCCCAAAAAAAAAAGAAGAAAGAGGCCGCATAGTGCCAAGGGAGGATTTAGTATTGGCACCCTGCTGTAACATTCCATCTATCTGTGTCACGCCATTTCACCGTCCTCACACAGGGTACCCTGCCTTGTCGATGCAGCCTTATCAAGGAACCGCTACGGCCTTATACCGGGACCCCTGCTAGTGTACCCCCTCACGCCGGCGTGCGTAAATAGCGCGTTTATTTACAGCTGACGCGGGCACGAGCTCCGCAAAGATGACCTTCAACTTCTGCTCTCATTGGAAATAGTATCCGGATAAGACGCACCCTCAGGAACGCCCACCCCAACCTACAACTCCCTCCTTGCTATTGGTCGTTTCGCGGCGAGTACTGGGCGGGTATGGGGCAGCACAACCCTGTGCCAAACAAGCGGTCGACTCGTTGGAGTTGGAATTTGCAGCATCAGAAACGGAATGCGGAAGCCAACCTGCAACTCCCACCCTGCATTCTTTGTGTCGTTTCTCTTTGTGTCGTTTCGCAGGGAGTATGCGGCGGGAATGGGGCAGCACATCCTGTGCCTCGCGGGAGAGATGATTCCCTCCCACGACCGCCCCTTCAACATTTTGAAGGACACCACTCGGGAGGTGGGTGGTTGGGGGTGACGGGAAATCACGATCGGTGGTCGCGTTTTTTCCCATGGTGGGGAATTGTGTCGGTTTACGTTTCGTTCGGGGAAGGGGGGGGGGGGGGGGGGGTACTCATAGTCGTGCATGCCGTAGTCGTTTGACCATTGACCTCGCATCCCTACAAAGCCGGGACGGAGCACGCCGGGTTCTCACCGGACCAGGCTCTCACATCACCAAGCGCGAAGCGCCGTGAGGTATTTTGGCGAGTCGCATGAAGGGTGAGCTGCATCCTGCTAAGGGTGTTCGGCATCTTGTGCTTACTTCCTTGCGTACGGATGACAGCTACGTATGACTTAATTTATTTTCTGGTGCTGTCACTTCCAGAGACAGTTGTAAGCACTGTGTAACTGCCTCGAGGAAGCTTGACCATTTTAACACAACGTGGTGCGACCATCCCCCGTTGCGCGGAGTGAGGTTTCTCGACCCCGCACAACATGATCTACTCGACCACCATTATGGTTACCGCCAAAAAAAAAAACCGAGGTAAAAAAAAAAAACGGTAACCTGGTTGCCGAGTTCACGAAGTGAATTGGCTTGTTTTACAACGTCGTTGCCAAGCGACGAAAACCCAATCCCGATGGCAAACACCGAAGTGGGGGGCTTGTTTTACAACGTCGTTGCCAAGCGACGAAAACCCAAACCCCGATGGCAAACACCGGGGGGGCGGCTTGTTTTACAACGTCGTTGACAAGCGACGAAAACCCAAACCCCGATGGCAAACACCGGGGAGGGGGGGGGGGGATTCTGGATTGTTGAGCCAGAGCCATGATGATTGAGTTCGGTGGGTTTGTTCTGCTTCTTTTCTGTTTTCCTCCGGAGTTGTGATGTGTGTGGTGACCACCTTGTTCGAGTCGAGCTCGCGAGTGCTCTCGATGCTCTCCTGCTGCTGCTGCTGCTGCTGCTGCTGCCTATGGGCTTCACGGAGGTTTTTGTGTATGGTTTTGTTTTTTTGGTCGAACGTTTGCATGCGTCCTTTGGACGCGATGCAACGCGTGCTCATGCTTTCGAAGATCTGCAGCCATGAGACAGAACCTGACCGCTGCACGTTTCGCTGACCCTCGGTGTGAACCCTCGTGGGCAACATGTCGAAGCCTCGTGGTTTTGACACGTGCAGCGTGCCCCTTCGCCGCGCTGTGTAACAAATTGTTGCTGCCCTACAAAACCACTCCGTGAGCATCTTGTGCACTTCCGGCTGTTGCCAAAAACAAATATCTGCTGGTGTTCTTCAGGTGCTGGACGATATGGCCACCATGGCCTATGACAAGGTCGTGATGAGCATGGGCAACGAGGTGAGCTGGCTGTGATACATCGCATGTGCCCATCGTGGACATGGTGGGCTACGTTAAGGGAGGGTTCCCTGCCCCGTATCCCCCTGTTGTATGTATGTTTCTTGTCGATCGTCGTGGTTGGACCCGCGTTCGTTTGAGCATATTTTGGTGGATTGCTTGTTTGGTGATCGTTTCACACCGCCCGAGCCGGGTCGAACGTCTTACCCCTCCCGCACCCGCCCCACCAGATTGCCCAATCACTGGCGGAGTTGTGCCGAGACCATGATCGTCGGCCCTTTCCCCCCATCCCCTCTTTCGAAAAGGCCACCCTCAGAACTAAAGCTTAATCCCACGCGGTTGCGACTACCTCCTGCCCGTTAGCCTACCAACGGTAGTCAAGTCAGGCACACGAATCCCCCCCCCCCCCCCCGTTCCCCCTCTTACAACTCGAACTGGTTACCCTACCACCGGCAATCAAGTGAGGCGTTCAAGCACGCGCACTGTACCCGCCCCATACGTAAAACGCCAAGCAGGTGTCTCCGCACTCTCGTATGGTTGCGGAGTCGTGCCCCATGACGGCGGCGGAAGTGCTCAAGGCGATAGCTCAGCTGGCGTTCCACATCGCCCAGCCGCTACGCTACTTCCAGACGGGGGTGAGGAGTACGGGAAAGGAAAATTGTGACAGGAGGCGTTTTGTTTGTTTGTCGGAATCGGTTTCGTTGTCTCGCGCCTGGGTAAGTGATGAGAGGATTGCCCCGCGTCGTGCAATTGCCTGCAGGGGCCCGAACTGATCAAAGCGAATCTACGCACAAAAGTCCGAGCGATGATTCACCTAGGAGCGCAGGCTGCTGTTGCTGGTCTCCACACCTGACAAGTACAGTTCGTTGATCATGCCGTGCCACGTGTTGGAGGCCCACCCTTAAGTTGTTCGTCGGTGACGTCGAACACACCTCTTGCTTCTTGTGGTCCGTTCTCGGCTTTTTTTGTGTGTGTGTTTTTTCGGTCCTGGTCTGAGCAATATTCTCATGGATTTTCCGGAAAATTGTCACAAGAGCATGCATGTTGAAAACTATTGTTGGGACGTCGACGTGTACGCATGTAAGTTGTATGTCATTGTGAGTATACGTGGATTCTGTCTTCCAGTTCATTCCGGGCATTCGTTTTGTTGTTGTGTACATTTTCCGGTTGCCTAAGCTGGGGCCACACCGTAGCGTGGTTGCATCATTTGTATTCACGTGTCTCATGGCTGTGTCCCTTTCTGGAACCGCGATTCGTTCATGCCGTGAGCCCTTGTTTTCTACCCCTGCTGCTTGTCGACCTATGTGTTTTTTCTGACGCGTAGATATCTCTCTCCCTTCTCCTATTCGCAATCGAATCGAAACCACAGTTCAGCGGGATCACGACTGTCATCCTCCAGGACACCATGAAGGAGATGCAGCTGCTCAACACCGCCTTCCAGGAGAACAAGGAGTTCTACGAGGTCTACGCCAGAGACCACGTCATCTCGGAGCTCACGAACCCGGTACACTACATCTGGAATTACACTTCGTTGACGACGTTTTTGTTTTGTTTTGCAGAACTGAAATGAAAGTACATGGGCGGGACGAAAAGTTGTAGTCCTGACGGTTAGCGGGTTTTGTCAGAAGATTGGCTGGGTGATTGTGGCTGGAGGGGGATCTACGAGATCTACGATCCCAAAACATTCCGCAACGGGCAATCGCGGGCAATGCCTCTGCTGGGTTATTTGGTGGTGGAGGTGTTGAGTGTCTCACGGAGAGAACCAAAGATGCGGCAACGAATGCCGTGTCCGTTGCTGTTTTTGGTCAGGAGGTGGGTTTTCAGCTCTTGGTGCCGCCGCTATCTGTTCGTTTGAAAAGAACAAACAAGTCGAGTCGGACGCACCCTCACAACGCATACCAGTATTTCTTGGTGACCATCACCGGTTACCCTTTACAATGTTTATTATAATCATCACGGACCCCAACACGCCTCGTATTCAGGAGATACATAAGCATGATCGTCCTCCCATGTTCAAAGCCACACTCGGGTTAACATGTCAGGACGCTCCCGAAGCCCCCGTCTCTTAGCCGTCAAAGACAGTCGCCTGCTGTGCGGCCGTTCGGTTTAGAATTGTCTGTTTTCTTCCACCGCTGCTTCTCTCCGTCTGTCTCTCTCTCTCTCTCTCTCTCTCTCTCTCTCTCTCTCTCTCTCTCTCTCTCTCTCTCTCTCTCTCTCTCTCTCCCTCCGTCTCTCTCTATCTGTCTCTCTATCTCTCTCTTTCGCTCTCTCTCTCTCTTGTGTTCAACACATCCTTCTCGCTTGTCTTGAACGCAGACCGTTCGCTCTTGATTTACAAGCGGAGCTCTCTTTCTTGCCTCAAAACAGGGCCCTCTCCCTGTCTTTACGTAAACAGAGCCCTCTCCCTCTCTCGCTTGTCTGGTTGGTCAAAACAGAGCCCAGCGGGGACGCTCAAGATGAGCAGCCGCCTGCTACGGCGAGTGATGGACATGTACAAGAACGACGCCGTGTCCTCCAACATCTTGGTGCTGTCGGAGGAGCTCTCCCAGAGGCTCTTCGATGCCGACGGTGAGGAACGAATTTGTTCATCCATTCGTTCGTTCGAAGCTACGTACCAACCTTCGTTGGTTTTTTTTTTTTCAAGTGGTCGGGGTATCTCCACCTCGGATGCAGCCTCTGCGCCTCTGTTACAGGGCGTTGTTCGTGAATGATTTGTTTTTTGCCGTCCGAGGACAGCTTTCGATCCGGCTCCGACTCGTTACTACGTTCGTACGTTTTCCGTATTTTCCGGAAAGGTTAACGTCGCTTATTTCGGGCAGCAGGGCGGCTACAGTAGCTTGGACTCGGCTGTTGTCTCCGAAACATCTTTGCCGCTGACTGTTGCTGTTGATTGTTTCGGGTAGGCTATGTAACTAGATCACTCGAGATGGTTCGGTCAGGGAGGCGAATTGTGTGGTCTGGTCTGCTTGAGGCCTTTTTTTCAAAACATTTGCCTACTTTCCTGCTGCGGGGCCCCTCGTTTCTGTTATTTTTTCTGTTGTATTTTAAATGGTACCCCCATGTTGTTTGAATACCCGCTGCCCGTTTGTCTCTCGTGTCCAAGATTCCCTTCCGGACATCAAACTGAGCTGGGACAACCTGATGTGGAACCTGGAGATCGACGACGGTGATTACGAGAGCGAGAAGCAAATGAAGGCGGCCATGGACGGTGTGCTGGCGTCGCTTGTGGAGGTATTGAAAAGGCGCCGTTGTTTTCTTTAAAGCGGTTGCTTTCCTAGCTCAAATCTTGTTTCGTTTATTTTGTGGGTGTCTGGTTAATGGGTGCGTCAAACCGGTAGTGTCACCCAGCCCGGTCGTCTGGCCTTGCGCAGAATGGTGTTTGTAGCCCTTACGTGTAGGCCATTCCAGAACTTCTTCATGGGTTGCCGTTGCTGTACCATCATGTGAACCGTAACTTCGGTTATCCGTACGATGATACTCCGCAATTGCGCCGCGTTTTGTGCTGCATCGGGCCGTGCAGAAACTTATCGAGGCAGGGATGGAGCAGCCTTCGGCCAAGACCGCACAGGTGATTTGTTTGTTTTTTGTAAATGTTCCTCAGGCTTTCCCGCACGTGTCGTGTGAGTTATTGGGAGTGCGGTGGCAGACTAAACACTTGTCATGTGCCGAAGGCGTGAGTACATGAGCAAACACAGGGATCTGTCCTTGACTGATACTTGCGTGGGTAAGGCGGGGTTTGGTCAAGGCATGGACGAAGAGACACGATGACCTGTTCGCCTGTACGTATCGCGAAGTCCATGATGCTCGGGTCCACATCTATGGCTGTACACTTTCTTCCCTTCCCTTTTGTCCGTATTTTCCTCCTGTGTGACCCCGGTTGGCTCATGCAAGTACGTGAAACAAGGTGTAGGTAGACTGGCGCCAGAATGGAACGAAAGAAAATACCAGAGCGGACACTTGTCACCGCAATCGTTTCCTGTTGCCTTCTTAGATGTGCGCCACCCTGGGTTTGGACGACGAGGCGATGAGGAAGGCGTTCTCCCTCGTGAGCGGGGACATATTCGAGCAATCTCTTCTCAAGATGATGCGGAGTCAGGTAGAGAGGAGGCTGAGGAGGCAGTCGTTTTAAGGGAGCAATAGTGCACCCGAGGCAGGGAGGGTCTCGTGGGTGTCGGAGAGCGGTTGCTTAGCAGTCAGTGGCCGACCCACACGGACGACGATTGTTCTTTCCGTAGTGCTTGCCACTCGATCTCCGTGTCGGAATACACGCACCACATCATTTACTCTAGCACGATCAGGTGTGCGCGATCCTTCATTTGGCACGAGTCCACGTTGCACTGACCTCATGTCACTCGCTGGTGTTGGTATAGGGCAAGAGAACGGCCGGGATGAAACCCAAGGGAAGAAATAAATCATTTTTCTTGCCGTATCGATCATTGGTTTCGACCAATAGCGTCGTGAGATCGCCTCTCGGACAGATTGATCCCAAGTCAGTCCGGTCGTCGTCGTTAAGTTTCTGTCCCCTGCGTTTCTACACGTCTGTCTACGAGTCCAAGCATCTTAAGCCAGCAGCATCTTTGACACGTAGACATGCATTCATTTCTTTTTCCTCGATGTCAACCTTCCGTGCTGTCTGTGTACGTGTTGTTTGTTTCGTATCTAACGCTTGTGGGACGTGGCCCGGTCTACGAGTCCAAGCATCTTAAGCCAGCATCTTTGGTAGACAGACATGATCAATTTACTTTCCTCATGTCAACCTTCCCTGCCGTGGGTGTACGTGTTGTGTCGTATCCAATGCTTGTGGCAGGGGACGGCGGCCGACGGCACACGGACAGTACTGTTCCGCTCGGACCCGCTCACGAAGGAAGAGCTAGAGGTAGGCACTGGTGTACTGTACATGCCCTCCCCGGTGGCGGACACGAAGCGTCTCGGTTGGCATGGCACCGCGCACGCACCGTGTCTTGAGGGTTGTTTTGCGGTGATGCTCATCGTGTCGTTGTTATTGTTGGCGCTGCCTCGACTGCTGTTCCCCCCCCCACGCTTGACACGTTTGTTTCCGCTCATTATGTTTTTCGCTACCATGACCGTTCGCTCCCTGACGCTTCCACTCTGCACGCGAAACCTTCTCTCTCTTTTTTTTAGGAGTTGATGGCCACGGCGGTGAGAGTGGGCGTGTCGGGACCGATGGCGCTCGAGGTTGTGGCTAAGGAGCTCCAGGTTTCCCTCAAGTGAGTTATTCAGAGTTTCGCTGTACGCCAATAGAGGCAACATACGGCGCGAAAAAACGAAGCCCAGCGGGGGGTCCTACACTTTAGTCTTCTCCGGAGTACAAGCATATTATCTCCTGCGATCGACGGTGGTGACGAAACAGAAAATTGAGCCTCTGCGATATTTTATTTTTTGTTGCGAAAATATCGCTTTTCTTGGGTGCCGACTCTTGCTGCTGGACTGTCCATCAGCTTGCCCCCAGTCTTTTATCTGAAACCGCGAACGCTCCCTTCTCTGAAGCCGCGAACTCTGCTTGTATCTGAAGCCACGAACGCTCTCTTGTATCTGGAACCGCGAACGGGAACACCCGACATGCCTTTCTCGCCTGGTTGTTTGGTGCAATAGGAACATGGTGGTTCGGGCGGGGCAGAGCATGCGAAACAACGTGGCAAAGGAAGGGGCTAAGATCATCGGGGATGCGAACATCCTCTTGGACGGCCTCTGCACACAGGTAAAAGCGTGTCTACAGTAGGGTACGAGTGATCCCTCCGGAGTGGGGCTCATGAGAGCACAGCCGTATCATCAAGGGGCGGTGCAAGATGAGAATTGAACCAGGCGGCAGGACCAACCCACAGCTGGCTTCCAGCCGGCTTGTGATGTTTCCCAAGCTCAACAGCTCACGCAGCTCACGTGTTTTTTACTCGAACACTCGAACAGCCCAGCGAACCTCAACGAACGAATAAGAATTTTTACAACTCTGTAGCAGTCTTGTCAAAATGTCGTGTCTGCTTGAGAACGGGTGAGGGTGGGCTTCGTGTTGATGCACCCCTGGGCTGAAGGGGAGGGTACTCTAAAAATCCAAGTGAAATTGAGATGAAAATAAACGTGTCTAATTAAGACCGTTCCTCCAAAGTACTACCCCACTTCTCTGAACTTCGTTTCGACGGTCCTAGTACAATAGGTAGCTGTCGTTTTCACTTTTGTCCGTGCGCCCTTGTCGCACCCGCTCATCCGTTCTTTCTGCTCCCATGCTCGTTTTTTTTTTTTTTTTGTCAGTTGGCCGGGGCGTTTGGGGCAACCGACATCACCGAGACCCTCAGCATCGCGGGCACGTTAGCGTCGCTCGACGAGTACTGGACGTCGGAGCTGTGCTTCAAGATGGTGAGTCATGCCTGCATCACCTTCTGCTTCGGTGCCGCCTTTGGGAGGCGTCGGTGCCTTCTGGTAACACGGTACCCCCAAGACACGTCGGCGGAGTTGGCCGCCGTGATGATGGCGGGGCTCCCTCGAATTTTTTTTCCCCTAATATATATTTCGACCGGTCTCTCGTTGCCTTTACTTCCTTCGCGTAACTTTTGCGGTCGTGTTGCTCTTTGCCGATGCTTGCAAGGTTTTTGGCGTGGTTTATATCCTCGAAAGCATGGAGTTGGTTGAGCTGTGTTCAAGGCAGAGGCGCACAAACTTACCCTGTCTTGGTCAGGTAGTTGTCTCCTGTGCAATCGAATCGAGATCTCGACTCAACCGATTGATATACCGCAATTGCGCGTGTTATCGCACCCCGGTGTTTGCGTTTTCTATAGCGTATTTCTCTACAACTAGGAGGGTGCGAACACCCACTGATTGTACCTCTCCGGAAAGCCCTCGACGAGATGTTTCCAAAACCACCCTTTTCGGAGGTGATGCCTCCCTGGTTGTGGAGAAATACGCTGTAGAAAAGCGCTAACACGGGGGTGCGATATCACGCACAACTACGCTACCCCCTCATGCCTCCTGTCAGAGTATTTTTTTGTGGGGTACCCGGTGCCTCCATAATGTCTCCGCTTGCTTGGTGTCCCTCGAACGTAACCAACCCGCACAGGTGGATGCCGTCCGCGATCCCGAAGGGGCGAGGGCGGAGCTGGGTATCCCGGGGGCGCTGACATCAGACCCGGAGCCCCAATGGGAAGAAGAGGCGCAAAGAATACTCGAAATCCTCGGCTTGAAGGGCAGGCGGTGATGTAGAATGTGGGGAAGCGATTTCGATCGAGTTTGGTGTTTGCTGACGGGCTGGATTTTTTGTTGTTGTTGTTGGGGTGGGGAGGGTTGACCTGAGTAGCGACGGTTTCATTCAAACTGTTCAAATGAAACTGTGAAGAACGAAACTGGTGTCCGTGCAACTCCGGTGATTTGATTCCTTTTTCTGAATGTGCTCGACGTTTATGGTGTGTGATCGATCTGGATGCGGGGTCTCAATCGGTGCACGTCAAGAGTACTGGGAAAGTCTTGACCCAAACGGGCAGCAGGCGAGAACAAGCGTCGAACCCAGTTTTTCGTAGATTTCATAGATTTCCTATCGATTGATCGGCCTCTGCTGTCCATCTCCTATGGAACTCTCTAGCTTGGTTGGTCGAAGATAGGCGCTTTGGTGGATGCCGAATGTAATCGGAATGCTCGCCAAACGGAACAACCAGAACTGGCGTGCTCGGCGGTCCGCTGGTGGATGACACAGCGGCTTGAAGGGGCGGGAGTATACTGTTTTTAGCTCTCAGGCGGGCATCGTTATCGTTCACAGATGTGCTGTGCCATTGTTGCTGCCGTGTCTGTAGTCTACAGTAAGTAGGGGTGCATAGATAGGCCTTCGCCGGAAGACTTTTGATAGATGTCCTGGTCGTATGCGTAACTCGGAATTATCTAGGTATCGACGAGCCCCTATCTGCAGGACGCAATACTCCCGATCGTCGTTGTTGCCCGTCAGTGTCTCCCGGGATTGCTGCGTGCCGGGTAGGAAGGCTGGGACGCACACGATCCGTGGGTCGGGGGCTGGTTTGCGCACGCAAGAGCAAGTGGGTTGAGTATCTCGGTGAACTGCTGTGAGCCATGAACGGTGAACCGATTGGTGTTGAAATGTTGGGTCAGAAAATGTCTCTCTGGTTGCTTGAATTCATTCTCCACGCAATAATAATGGCAACAGTTCTGAATTCTTTATGTGCCGAACTTCTTCCATATGGAGCGTTGGTGTGCACTTGTTTGAACTGAAGAGAAGGGGGTTTTCACCTCGTCCAGTAAGATGGACGCCGGGCCAACAGATTCCCTCCTGCACGGGCCAGCGGCGAAAAGAAGATTTGTTTCTGATGTCATGGGTGTACAACGCGCTCGGGGCGTGTTGTGCTCACCCGCACATGTCAAGTACGTTCCGCAGCACTTTTTCCATGTTTCTGCTATCCCCGGGGGTAGCCCTCAGCCTTGTCAGAAGCCCGCCTCCCCTCTTTTAGCTTTTCCCCGGACGGAACGTGTTGTTTCTGGTGGGTTGGCAAGGTAACGTGGAAAATTTGGCTGCATCTTTCGAGACTCGTTTCTTGTCCCGCCATCAGCTCCATTGGTTTGCTACACGGTACGTATACTGGATGTTTGCGGCCTCCAGCAACAAAACTCAAAAGCCAAAAAGTCGTCCCTTGATCGTCGATTTGCCGATTCGCGACATGATCCTTGACGACACGTGTCGATGTTGACAAGAACGCTCCGAGAGCACGAAGAGGCCAGCTGTAGCGTTGCCGTACGAAAGCAGTTCGCAACACTACTTGCGACACGCAGAATTAGACATTCATCAACGGTTAAAAATCACGACATCCCCCATTTACCGCCATTGACCCGAAAATGGCAAGTTACACCTACTCTTTACAGCAGTACCTCGAATCCTTTCCCGAAAATATGAAAAAATCTCCCAGGAATACTTCCCAACGGGCAAAATACGGACAACCCCCCTTCCCCCCCCCCACGAAGACGATAGAGGCCTTGTTTTCGGTGGTACACGACACGCAGGACTACAGCAGTAGTTAGCAGCTCTCGTCGAATGGTCGGCGGCGAACGGCCCGACCCGCCGCCTAGCCAGTGCAACACACGAGGCACGGCAGTACGAAGCCCGGCATCAGTGTCATCGGAGGGGGGGGGGAGGGGAACACCGAGGCCCTACACGATACCTCAAGACATGAAAGTAGGTCATTCTGTTTACTATTTGCCCCATGCCCCCATAATCAAAACTCAAGGACCGAATTTACACACAACTGCTGTATACGACGAAGATGCGGGTGGATTCGGTGATGTCACCGCTTCCGAAGCACGCGCCCTTCGGACGGCAAAAACAAATGTACCCATAGCGTCACCGAATGGTGAAGGGCCGAATAGTTGTGAGTGACACCACATGAGTACGCCGAGCTACCACTACGAGACACACAGATAAACGGGCTAAACGGGCAAGTAAAAAAACAATTAAAAAAAGGCTAAATTATATGGTAGATATTATGTTAACGAAGTAAGAGACAAGTGAATCGAGAGGACCCTACACCAACATAATATATAGTGTAAATAGCCTGTACTCGACGGTGGCGACGAAAAACAATTGGAACCGGACCCGAACATGATGTTCGTATCCTACCTCTTAGTCCCTACTGCTGTACAGGCCAAGAAGGTGACAAAATAGTCAAAGAACGACTAGAGACTAAGGCTATTACGGGGCACCGTTACGATTCCACGATGACCCACGACAATACGACGAAAAACAGCACGATAAAAATATACAACTAACTTGCACTAATGGACGTATCGCAAAGGATCGGAAAGTTCGACAATAAAGTGGAACCGAGACAGAAGTGCCCAGCACGACTGTTGAAGGCGACCCTAGCCAAGAAAAGAAAGCAAGTGGTACTTGGAAATACCGCTGTACACGGCAACGCTCTTCTTCTGCAGGACAGAGTCTTGGTACGATCTACTCCAAGGCAGCAACGCTCTTGCTTTCTCATCTTCTTCAGGACAGTATTGCTGCGAGGATCACCATGGCCACGCTTTGCTTTCCCCTCTCCCTCCGCAGTCTTGGCGTGAGCTGCACCATGGCAGCAACGCTCTGCTTTCTCCTCCTGTTCGTTCAGGGCTACTCCATGGCAGCAGCGCTCTGCTTTCGCCTCCTGTTCCAGGCAGCCTTGCTGTGAGCTGCACCATGGCAACAACGCTCTGCTTTCTCCCCTTGTTCGTTCAGGGCTACTCCATGGCAGCAGCGCTCTGCTTTCTCCCCTTGCTCGTTCAGGGCTACTCCATGGCAGCAGCGCTCTGCGTTCTCCTCCTGTTCCAGGCAGCCTTGCTGCAAGGTACACCATGACAGCGACGCTCTGCTGCCTCCCTTTCTCAGGGCTACTCCATAGCGGCAACGCTGTGCTTCCTCCTCCCGTTACAAGACGGTCTTGCTCGCGAGCTTATCCCCTCCTCTTCTGCACAGCAGTCTCGGTGGTGAGGTAGATCTACTCCATGGCCACGCTCTGCCTTCTCCGCTTGTTGAGCACAGTCTTGGTGTGCACCTCTTGCTCTCCGTCGAACGGTCCTCCCTCGAGAATGAAAAAGTTATCCTCCGAGCGTTCGGCTTCGTCCCCGTTGATCCAGAGCCTCTCCACCGGCGACCGCCCTCCGCGGGGCTGGATCTGACCAAAACGGACGACGTGGGAGGGGAGCACCAAAAAGCGGCGCTGGCAGCAGTCAGTGGAAACGAGTTCCTATCACCTGGGACGTACCATATACCAAGCTCTAGGTACAAGCATATGACGAACAGGTCACAGCAACAGAAAATACAGCCACGCATACATATCCGGCCAAGTTGAGGGCATGCACGGAGAGACCGCTGGGGTGCTGCAGTATCAACTTGACGCCAGCCTGCATGTACGTGTCATATACCGAGAGCAAACGAAGAGGTACTAAGGGCGCGTGGGTGTCGTGCTGTCACGGGGCCCCACAAATGATGCGTGTACGACAGTCCCGAGTAAAATTTACGATGAGTCCTCAATGCCTGTTATAGGCATCCACGTTTTACATGTGGACTAGCAAACCGGGTCGTCGGACAGGAACTGCCCGCCCAAAGACATGTTCATGCCTACACTATTCTATCCGGTAGAAGGTCTTTGCCTTTAAGGCCTTCGCAGGAAAAAACTTGAGCACCAGCGGCGTAACGATATACGAGATCCACTGACCAAAGCATGTACCGGTTGACCCAGACATGTGCCTTAGAAAACCAACAACAACGTCGTCGAAACCATTCGACCAAGCAGTATGCAAGGCCGGTTTACCCAGGCTTGAGAACATCAACCTCACACACACACACCATTCTCTCGACTTTGCTGTTTTCGCGAGCATATCACCTTCCAGTAGAACTCGTTGCTGCCCTCAAAGAGGAACGTCTGGTCAGAGCCACCCTCACAGGGGACGAAGTGCCACGAGATGTCCCACCGACCGTCTCCGTCCGCGGCAAAGTCCAGATCGCCGAACAAGCATTCTGGGCACCTGTTGCACACCGTCGTGGCCTTTTCGCTGTCACTGCTGTCGTGTATCGTCCGGTTTTCGAACGAGGATGCTCGTCGACTGACGAGGTTTTTTAATATATTCTCTTACCTGCTACCACGGAAGGCGCCAGCGTCAGTTGGACCAGTACCGATATCAGAAGGCACTGAGCAGAGACTGGGACGATTTACACTGTGAAACAACATAAACAACGACCTCAAGCACCGAGGCGCGGCAGAGCAACGACAAAAAAGGAACAAAAATCGAACCCGTCTATCCTCTAAGCTGGCGAGCCACAGCCCGCAGACGCGAGCCACAGCTCGCAGACACAAGCATTCAAGAGCAGCAAGCATTGAGAGCTTTCCCGTGATCCAGTCCCGTTTCCAGAGGACCGCCTTGGCGAGAAATAAAGAATTATGAGAAAATAGAACAGGGAGGGGGTACGCAGACCGTTATCCCTAACCCAAACGCCAACCCAACTTCCCCGATTGCATGCTTTGTTCACCATGTTGCACATACTTAAAAAACCGCACAACCATGCCAAGGCTACTGGCTCCAGACCTGTCTGTCACGTACGCCTTGAACGCCCCTTCCACGGGGTCCCTGCCCTCCCCCTCCCCAAAGCCCTCCCCCTCGATGCACGCGCCGCACATGTACGAGTCCGCGTACTGCTCGTCGTTCAGGGCGACCGGGATCATCCCGTCGTACATCTCCGGGAGCGGGGATCGGATCGCGCAGTTGCCGTCCCCGTCGGGGGTGACCCCGTAGTACGTGGCATCTCCGGAGAACTGCTCATCGTAGGGGGGCGGGATCAGGGGGACTATCATCGCCGACCGAGCTCGCGGCGGGAGGAGGGCGGCGAGGGTCGCGGCAAGGAGGAGGAGGGGTTTCTTGCTGTGTGGAGGCATGTTGGTGGCCGTACGCAGCGGCGGCGACTGGATAGGCCTTGTCTGTCTCCGTGTGTCGTTAGATTGTGCAGTTGGTCGAAGAGGGAACAGGATGCAGAGAGTTAAAAAAAAAGGGAGACAGAAACAAAAAGAGCGGAGGCCAGAGAGCGGCAACAGGTACGAGAGGTCGGTCAGTCAAAGCGACAACTACCCCTGCTGGAGGCACCAAACACCGCCCAAAGGTAATCACATGCCAGTCATGGCGTCCATCATAACGTTGTCACGGGGAAAAGCTGGAGCTCGGTCGCTGTCGCAGTTGACAGATCAGTTCGCGGCCATGACGTACTGTACAGTAGTAGCGTACGAACACAACACGCAGGTTTTCGTTTCCAAACCGTATGGGACATGGGACTACTCTGTCATGAAGTCATGAACTACTTCCGTAGTTCAGCAAGGTGTTTACCCAGCAGATATTTACGCCACAAAACTACTTCGCGCGCACCACCACCATCGGCGCGGCCCTGGCCAGGACACTGGATGTCGAAGGCCTCATATTAGGGCGGGCATCTACAGCAGTACGGATGGATGCCCGCGGTCCCTCCGTCATGCTTTAGGCGGACACATGTTGAACGGTCGAAGAGCACAACAAAGTAGGCGTAAAAGAGCGGCAACGCCACCGCTGACTTGACCTTCCCTTGATCACATGATCACACGCAAGCCTTCGCAGCACCCTCTCACCTGAAGACGGGTGCAGCTCACAGCAGCAGCGTTAGCAAGGCAGTGAGAGCCTGATGCTCCTCGCAGTACAGGAGTCCCTCCGCGCCCACTTTTCTGTCAGGTCAAACTTCGGGCCGGTGGACCCACGAGGTCCTGGAATATACACAACCCGCAAGTAGGCTCTCAAGCACAAGCCACGCAGGGGCTCGGGGTTCGATTTTACCCTCGGGGAACGCACGACACGAGAAAGACAGCACACAGACAGGCCCAGGGGGCACCGCGAAAGAAAACAGAGCTCGATCCGAACCCAAGGTACGCCACCTCGTACTGACTGTCGCATGATACTGCCCTCGGCGTGGCCCCCACGAAAGATCGGTGGGTTCATGATCCAACTACGTACGTCTACGTATTGCCTACCGCATCACCCCGTTCTTGGGCCTTTATGCGCCGCTGTGTCCACACGCCCTAGATAACTTGGAGCCCAAACCGGCTTGCTGTGGGGTGGGGAGGTATCCTCATATTCAGCAGTACCAGATATCTAAACCGCTCCCTCTCTAGAAAGAAATCCCGAACACCGCCCTTTGCCCTTTTTTTTGCTTCGCGTCCTTGGAGTGTTTGGACCCGCGTGAGACGCGTTGGGAACATTCCATGCTACGAGGATACCAAAGGGACCGCTACCACCCTCCCGGAATTTATGGGCACCCCTCGCAGTTTTCGGCACTCCTCCAAACAGACATTTGATCGAGACAGCGCCGAATAGGGAAACAAACTTCCCGGCTTTCTTTACTTTTGACGTACAAGTATTTTGTGCTCAAGTACAGTATTAAACATCGAACGACCTACAGCAGTATCTATTCCATAGTTCGCGTACCGAGCAGCACAAATGCGTGTTGATTGGAGATAACGATTCTGTGAAAATCAAACACGGTGTATTGGACCATCGAGTGTGTGTGCTGGAAGAGCCCACAAAAACACAAAAACATAGTCTACCGGGTGTGGGCTGGCAACTAAAAGCTAGAACGGCTGTGTGTTCTGTGACGGCGCCCAGGCTATGATACTGCGACATGCAGAAAATGTTGGGCGACTGCCCACGTTCGTCGGGCAACTCCATGGTTTGTAAGGGGGCGGCAAGGAATATGGACCGACATAACACTACATTGTAGGTGGGCTGGGTTGGTGAGGCAACGCAAACACTATACCACCAAAGGAGCCAATAAATACCACTGCTGTATGTTTGCACATGTAAAAACCTACCATGGCATTCGGCATGACACAGCCACCATCATGCAATGGGTCGTCAACCGTAAAAGCTCTCCACGATTGACCGATGCTTCGCAGTGCAAAGACTCACGAAGGGGAAAGACTCTAGTCTAATTCCGCGGGACCTCCTCAAGCCCCAAATCTACTAGGAGTACATCGAATCCTTTTTACTACTCCGGCCCCTGATTCTTCGACCTGACATTTCCTGCCACCAGTAAGGGACAAAATACAGGGCCGCCGACAGATACGAATAACACTTCCATTCGAGGGATGACTTCACCCTGCTGGGGCTTCTCGTCAAGCATCAACTGCGACGCAGTCAAAACGTATTCTGTGACAACAACAAAAACGTCTGAGCGCAACACACAACGTTCAGCTCCTTCGCAAGCCTGTTTATGCCAGCCGCAAGCAAGAAATAATTCCTTGCCGCCGCCACGAACGAACAAGAAACAAACGCTTACATTCGAAACAAAACACGCAGCCGCACGTCTTCCACAACTAACTCTCTTGATTCCATTCCTCGCTGAGCGCAAGTACCGACGAAAGGACTTTGTCGCAAAAAGCCAACCAATCAGAGGCAGGCCATCAGCATTTTGAGAGGTAGGACGTAAAACACCAGAGCACCCGCCACGTAAAAAAACCGCACCACCACCGGTTCGATCCATGATTCCCACGGTATTGTTGCGGTTCTTTCCGCTTAGGCCGAGCCCACATGGAGAACCGTCCCGGCAAAGCGGCCGATGCCATATTTCCCGTACAACCCCGCCGTGTCATCAACTTTTGTAACACAACAGATGATCGTCGCTACGTCACTTGAACAACTCGCGGGCCCACATGACAGCTGTTAGACCTCCGTGCAAATCACGCCGCGTTTCTGTCGTCAACGCAGTCTAAATGCTGTAAAACTCGAAACGCAACGCAGCCTTCTTGACGTAAAACTCTGTGCAAGCACGAAACGCTTCCTCTATTGCGTTGTGTTCATGCATGCATGGCGCCAAAATTACAGGGCATGGCCGCCGGCCCGGTGACGAGGCGTGGCGTCTTTCACTCATCATCGCCATCGTCTAGCCAACTACAATCCTTCATGCATCACCACCTCACCATCATAGTCAGCGAGACAATCCTTCATTAATGATGATGATCATCGTCAACCAATCATTCACACTACGTCCTTCTGTGGGTGGGCCTTGTCCGGCTGCCCCCTGTTGCTGAGGAGACGGTTTACCGCGTGAAGGTAGGCCTCGGCAGACGCATGGATCACGTCCGTGTCCGCCGCCTTCCCGATGTACTCTCGCTTCGACAGCTCGTCCTGGACACGCACGGTCACCTCTCCGAGAGCATCGATCCCGGCCGTCACGCTGGTCTCGCGAACGGTCATCACACCAACACACAGCAACGGGCCCGCAGTCAGGAAATGTTTCGTGAAGAAACAGAGGTTCAAATCTTGACGAAAAAATGAGACAAAAGGGAAAAAGAAAGACAGTTCAGCTGTGGATCCTACACCTACAGTTAACTAACTACTGTGCTCGATAGCAGCGACTATGAAGAAAGAAACTGAGCCTCGATCCGATTGTGACGTTTCTTATCTCTAGGTCCATTCGGTAAAACAGCATCAGACGAGGAAAAAAGAAACAACTGAATCTGGAAACAGGGACCACAACACGTCTCCACTTTTCAAAACTGCGGTCAAGACAAAGGTACCATATGCGAGACGAAAATCGGCAGGGACCACAAGAGTCGCAAAAATACAGAGGCGTAGGACTGGGCCAGGAGTGATGAGCGAGAGGTGAGAGCGACTAGGAGTGGATCAATCCCAAGATGACCTTCGACATGTGTAAGTAGTGGCGATTGCGTAAACCCCTGTGTAAATACGATCATGCTTGATTACAATCACATAAAGCCGACGCCAGCAGAAAACAACGATCTACAGCCGTGTGTGTGTTCTTCCCTGGCGCCAGTCCGCACACCTTTCTATTAGGTGTATAAATTTGACGTCGGGGTCACAGGAGGAAGGCACATTGGGTTAACGAAGGTGCGGTGTCTTCCCGCCTGTCGCTGAGGACTTAAGGTTGCTCACCCGGCCCACGAAGAACTACGATGCACGCCTCGTTGGCAGACACCCTCACAAACATTTTTCTGTCTGTAATCCGGAGATATGCTTAGCCTCCCCCATGACGCCCCCTTAACGGGGGGTGATGACCTACAGAATTTTTTTTTCTGTTTTTAGCCGCACGGAGACTGACGCGTTCTCATCGTTCAGCCGGTTAGCGCGCTGTCAATGTCAACAACAGAGACACACACACAAGTTCGACCTTCAGAAAGCACTTTCTGTCTTCAGCCGCACTGAGGCTGACATGTTCTCATTGGTCAGCCGGATAGCGCGCGGTCGATGCCAATACTTCAAAAAAATCACACGCAAGTGCGACACACGCAACTCGAGACGTGTCGGCGCCAAGGAAGGCCTCTCTTCCCACCTTGCCACTGAGTACTCCAACAGCTTCGTGCTCCTGGTCCCCACGATGTCGTCGATGGCCTTGTAGGCCGCGTCCACTGGACCAGTGCCGATGGCGGCCACGCACCCCTCCTTCTCCAGGTCGGTGTCGTACAGAGTCACCGTTGCCGTCGGCTTGTTGGTGGTTCCGGCCGCAACCTGAAAGAAACGCACAAAACAACGTCGGGGGCGGGGGGGGGGCGAAAAAGGTTGAGGGAACGTAATGCATGTTCAACTGAGTTCTTATGTTCTTATGAGCGTATGCATGTCTTCCAGTTGACGAGGCCGGCGCCCAAAGTGGAGGTGCTTGTATTCGTGTAAGACCATCAAAACAACCGATGTCTGTTGTTGTCGTTGCCGTTGTCGTTTTCATCGTCGTCGTGATCATTGGTGCTATCGCTTTCGTTCGCCTGGTTGTCGCTGCCGTTTTCCGGAGGGGGGGAGGGGGGGGGGGGGGGGGGCCCCA